ATATATATATATATATATATATATATATATATATATATATATATATATATAGGATAAATTCTGTATTAATTTTTCGACTGGTTGTTCTCGCATGCACGTATATACATATGATGGGGTCTGTGTATGACTATGGTAGGTAAAAAGTGCTATTATTTTTAATTTTTTTAAGGTTGTTTTGTTATTACTTTAAAGCCGGTTTTTGGCGATTGCGCATATGTAAATGGTAGAAACTCCAATTTGTAATACTTATTAATATTTATGCGGTGGTATTAATTTTTCTGGGGAGGGAGAAGTAAGTATAATCGTGGACTGATAGAGTAATGGTGATTGTCGTGGCGTAGTAATTGTGGACTAATAAGGCAATGGTAATTGTGATGTGGTAGTAATGGTGGGAGGAGCGGGTGATGATAATAACAATTGTAGCAGTAAATAGTTATTGTAAAGTGGTAGAAGTGATCGTAGTAATGGTGGTGGAATGATAATAACAATAATTATAATTATTAAAGTGATATTTTGAACTAGAAAATAATTAATGGTGTTAAGGTGTCAGTGGTTTCTCTTTTCATGTTTATAGGGTCAGTGGATGTTTTATGTAGTAGCGTTGGTTCGTATTCTTTTTTGTATCCGTTTGAGATAAATTATGATAATAGGTATTTGTTTTCATGTCTGCATTTAGAAATTATTTCTGATTTTATGTTTAGTAAATTCTTTTTGTTGTGTATCAGAAATTATTGCTACCTTCTGGTGTAGGCAAAGTAGGCACTTCTTTGTAATGTTGTTGTAGGCAGGTGCTTCTTTCAATATTTTCCAGGTTATTGTTCATGTAATATTTCTGTCTTTTAGATGCCATATGTATGTGGAGAGTGTAGTGCTGTTTGAGTATTTTTCTATTGGAGAATGTAAGGTCGTGGTTGTTTTAATCTTTTCTAGAATGGTCTCTCAGTGGCACCGATGTAGTATATTGTGATGTTCGCACTTACCTTTATATACAGACACATTCCCCCCCACACACAACACACACACATATATATATATATAAGGAAAAGTGGATAAAACAAAGTGACGTGGCAGATGGCCACATAAGAGAAAGAGGATAAAACAAAATGAGAGGGTAAAGTGCCATATAAGAGAAAAATAGACAATATATGGATGTTGTACTAGAGGTAGTTTAAAACAAAAAAAAATACCTCCATATCTCTTCTGGTAAATTCATCATGTTCAATATGTTGATTTTCTAAGCGTAGCTTAGATGTTGCACAAGGCCGAGATTATGGGGCACCCAGTGAGGATCGAACTCACTACTCAGTCGTAATTATTCTAGCACGACAAGCTGGCTAACCATTACTCCGCCTCGAGTTGCCCAAATCGTGCTCAATATATAGGGTGTGATGAAGTGTTCTACACCCGACCAATATACCCTCCTTCACAACCATAGCAAATTTTGAGTTTTGCTCATTTATCAAGATTTTTGGGTCGGGCGGTCGGTACCTAGAACATTTCACCACGCACCTCCTACCTTAATTACAATTTCATTGTCTGCTAAATTAATTAATTAGTTTATTATATCACGAGCCAATAGATCGCCAGTTGTCAGTTTGTTTTTCATCGCAGACTAAATACAACACAAAACATTATTTTTACGCTGTATATATATATATATATATATATATATATATATATATATATATATATATAACATTTATTTGATTGCATCATTTTGCGCCGCCATTTTTTCTCCTTTTTTTTGACTCAGTATAGCCTTTCATGTGTTTCGGACGCTGCGATAAATGGAACTATTCCATCCTAACTGTGATATAAGACAACATTTCTTCAGATAACGAGCTTACCATAACGTCTTCAACTAATAGAGTGAAAAATTGTAGAGTTCCTATAGTTATTAAACAATTTTGTCTTCACCGTTATTTGTCAATTTAGCGAAAATCCTTTCTTTACATGCAATAAAAAACCGGACGATACATTTATCGACGCTGAAATTACTTTGTGACGAATTTACCAGGCGATGAAATTAAAGGCGATGTATTTATTACAATAAATGTGTCATGAATGCCGCTATCATAGCTTTTGCTGTGTTACAAAAATTGTCAGAGATGTACGGAATACACTTCAGTACCATATTTGATCTTCTAATGGGCAGTGTATATGTATATCTGTGTATAAAAATATGAAGCTAAATAGCTTTTTCTTTCATCAAATGTAATAAAAGGAGCATTTTTTATTATTTTTTTTTTATATGACCATGTTGTTATAAACAAGATTTGGCAAAGAATTTCAAAATCGATTTTGTAATAATTCTTTGGAAAGGACGGTCCCAGAGAAAAAGTGACAATTTAGAAAATTAGTTCATATATACGGCGCAATTTTTATGTTGCAAAAACAGGAAAAATTATTACAAAATATAATAAATATGAAAGATAAAATAAATAATTGTTAAAAATAAATAACTTTTTATTATTAAATAGATCAGCAGTTCCAAAGTTTTTCTTAATCATGAAGCACTTTCGGACATGTAAATATATGTTGCTAGACTTTGGAGATAAACTTCACGCAGCCAAACTTCGAAACTATAGTCCTGTTACTATACAAACACTCATCTTAATCTCTTTTCATGTACTTGCTAGCAATCTTTCTATATTAGAACATTTACTTTCCGACCCGAGTTCGAATCACACTATGGTCGATTTTATCGATGTTATCGGCGATCATTTGGAAAACAAAATGAAAACTATACACAAGTATTGTGACTAAAATTGGGTAGACGGAACTATATGTCAATGGTTGAGCTACCCCCCAAGTCTCAAGTCATCGTGGTTGAGCTCACTGGCGTTGTTCAGAGTGTTGATCACGACAGATAATGCTCTCCTCCCAGGAACTGTAAACATTTCTCGCACTTCTCACCTGTGGAACTCCCTTCCAATTTCTTGCCTTCCTGATAAATACAAACTTCAAAAATTTAAATGCAAAGTCAATCGCCATCTTTTGTATTCTTGAACCTTGTTCCTTTTTTGTTCTTTCCTCCATTCTCTTCTCATTCTCTTTAACTCGCTGTAACCCAATGCGTTCTAGTGTTATTCCCGCTCTTGCTTGGGGTGAAACGATAAAGAAATATTAAAACAATTCTTTTCAGTAAAAATGCGTTCCTCAAATAACTGATATTTACAGTATTGATGGGGGGGGTACTTCCTGAACTTTTTATTTTTTTTGGAGTGGAACATCGATATCTTGATTAACAGTAAATTGCATACTATCGTAAGGCTTCAGTTCTTCAGAATATCAAGCGTTAGTTACAATTACTCTAAGCTTTAAACAGATCTGAAGGAGTAGTACTAATTAGGGTCTCATTATGGCCCAAATAGGAGGAGGCTCGGTGGTGTAATGGATTACTTCTTGGATTGAGGAATCGGAGAGCCGAGTTCGAATTCCAGTCAAATCCATTACATTCGCTTACGTGCTAATACCCTTGGGAAAGGTATGAATCCTCTTCTTCTCCCTCCAGCTATGGGTAAATAGCAGGACAGACTGGGTTCTATAGCCTTGGATGGCAACTGGTCCAGGAGAAGGAAAATTCTGAATTCAAAACCTGCGGAGTGTCGTTTGGGGGCTTTGTGGCACTCAGTGCACCAGGTCTCTGTATTCGTCCCTTCAAAAAGTGTGGATGATCCCGCACGAAACCTTCACAACTATAATCAAATGTGCTATACATGCGGGTTGGGGACCGCTTGTGAATTCCAAATTCCCATGAAACTCCAATATTGGAACCAGCTCAACCCACCCCGGGTGAATGCCGTTATAAGAGAAGAGAGAGAACAAATAGATTTCTCTACGGTAGTGGTTCCCAAGTGTTCGTTAGTCACAATGCACACACGGAACATGTAAAAATATTTTGATGCGTAAAGATTGCGTGGCCGAAAAACTAGATGCACCTAATTTCATCCCTTGCTACACCAGTGCAGAGACTGTATCCTACAAAATAATAAATATATTATTATTATTATTATTATGCTATGCGCCGTGTCCATTCAGTACCTAGATGATCATGGTTCTTGATCACTCTTGGCACCTCAGAAGGATCTGAACAATGTCATTTTTTCTGTTAAGTTTTTGATCTTGATCAAAATTTTTCTCATCTGAGAAAAACACAAATCACACCAGCTTCTGAAGTATTTTTAAGTTTGTTTAAAAGTCTTTTGAATCTGCTTGAACAGTTTTATTTTGTTTTTTCAGACATAAATTGACCTCTCTTCCTCACGTAAGACTTGTATCAAATCTCTTCATGAACACTCCTTCTGATTGTTTTTTCAGACACATGCAGCTTTTTGACAATTGACCTCATAGATTGCCCTCGCTTTTCATCAATTGCCTGCTTTACTTCCTGAATAAATTCGGATGTTCTCACTTTATCAGAACGTACAGAATGTCTTTTACATTTTGACACGGACATTGGGACATTTTCAGCGTCTTCTAACTCCTTTCGTATCTAGAAGATAAACGATCTTGCCACTCTGAGGAAACGTGCAATATCCAAATCGCTATGATCAGCCTATAATACCACAATCACAACATGCCTTTTCATTTCATTTGCTATTATAGGGTTTGCCAATCTTGATTTCTGAAAAATAAAAGCATTAGAAGCAGTGGGAAGCAGTATTAATCTTAAATCTGTATGTCCTCATATACCAGCCGCGCCCTGTATATCCTAGAAATTTCTCTCTTGATTGATTGATTCTATAGCTAATCAATTCTTTGCAGGTTATTTAAAGCCAGAAATAATTTGAGACTCTATGAATCTTTTTTTGAGATGATGATGATTTAGCGATGCAGATCAACCCATATCTAACGGAGAGGACAGATAGATTCATGCCTTTCCCAATGGTATTTGTGAGTAAGTGAATATAACGAACCCAACTGGAATTGGAATTTAGCTCTTTGATTAAAAATTCCGAGCCCTTATCCATTATCCTCCCCCGAACACCCAAGCTTAGAGCACTTAATATTACCAAACGAATACCCATCTAGGTACTGACCAGGCTCGACATTGCTTAACTTCGATGATTATATGGGAACCGGTGTTTCAACGCGATGTGGTCGTAAGTCTTTCAACTCTCTTTTTAATTTTAAGTCTGAGTCTCCTTTTTGTTTCCATTTTCCTTACAACGTTCTCGTTGCTCACATGCTCCGTCTGTAGTATTCCAGGCACTGTCCTGTTGAACCACAGTTGTCTCAAATCTCCACTTCATCTGTGAGGGGAAAAAAATCTATCATTCAATGTTAGAGAAGACGATTGGTATTAAGTAGCAGTTCATCACATTTTTAATGAATATTATCTAGTTTCTTAATAATTTGTTTAGCTTTTGAAAGGCATTTTTCACTAATCCAAAGCACCTTTGGATTCCAGTGTCAAATTTTGTCCGCCATATGTTTAAACACTTCTCAGATATTTAAATTTTCGTCCTTGCTTGTTTTTTGGCCTTTCCAATTCGTAGTTCGAGTCTTGGATTGTTCCTTTTGTTGGGAAGAATATATTCCGTCTTCTTACAAATGATACTTAGTCAAAATTATTTTTAAATTTTTTTAATCGGTGTCACCCCATGCAAGAAAGTAATGCCACTAAAACACAAGGGGTTACAGGGTGTGGGAGAATTAGGAACAGAAATATTAATAATGAGCGACAAGAGGGAAAACTAATCAGGAAAGTAGATAGTAACTGACATTTCATTTAAAATTTTGCAAATTAAATTTGGCTGGAAAGTATGTAGCCGGAAAGGAGTTCCACAAGCGAGAAGTGTGACAATGGAAACTGTTAGCATAGAACTTACGGCTACAACTAGCCACTTCAACTGTAAATTGATGAAATCTCGACGCAAGACTATTACTAAATTTAAATTCAAAAGATCTGGGGACCATAGTGAAGAGTTCAATCGAACGATTTCCATGAACGTATTTAATGAAAAGACAGCGAAAGACAACTTTGCAGCAGTGGGAAAATAAATGAAGCCGAGACACCAGATCAGGACCAATAATATTGCTGATTCTTCTTTGAGTCTTATCAAGGAGCTGAAGGTAAATAGCAGGGGCAGTGGACCATATGTGTCAGCAATATTCTAAGCATGGTCGAATGGTACACTTATAGATATATAAGATACATTCTGGAGAGAAAAATTGTCACGCAAGACACTGTGAACCGACTTTCTTAGCAGCTGACCTAGCAATGGATTCAGTATTGTCTTTCCACTTAATATCGGCTGAGTAGGTTAGCTCAAGAAGGCGCAACGTCTCATTTTCTTGGAGATTAGCATCAGTCAGGCAGTTAGAAGGAAGAGAGGAGTATTTCAGATGATTAATTGAGAGTAGTTTAGTTTTGGAGGCGTTAAAAGTAACAAGCCATCTTTTGCCCCAGTTAACAACGGACTTGATGTCGTTTTGGACATCGACTGCCATTTTGATCTTGTCGGAATGATCAGCTCTACTATCAAGACAGAAGTAAATGGTTGTGTTGTCAGCGTAGAGACCAAGTTGTGAGCTGATATCATCAGGAAGGTGATTAATGAATATTAGAAACGGAGTAGGTTCAAGGATGGAGCTCTGGGGATCACCTGCGTTAGTATGAAAGCATCTTTACAGGTGGCCATTCAGGATAACATTCATTACCCAATTTGATGGGGAAGAATGGATCAGTTCAAAAATGTGCCCGGAGACAACTTCAGCTTGTGGAGAATACCTGTATACCAAACCCTGTCAAAGGCTTTCGTGGTGTTCATAGCTTCACCGTAGCAAAATAAAATTTCATAATGTTTTCTATATGGTAGGTTAGAATAAATTCATTTTTCTCCTCTAATGTGCAGAATAAGAAATTTGTACCACTCCATGTAATCGGCATTAATAACTGTCTTTATTAACAAACTAATTACTTCTAAGAGTAGAGGCGGAGGTTTGAGAATTACAAGCAGATTTTAGTCATTGTGAACCTCACACCAGACTGAGCAAGTTTCAAAACTCTATCTGTATGCTGGGCTTTGAAAATCAGGAAAAGTGGGACTGTAAGTAACCAGAAATTAACGTAAGCTTTGCTGCCAGAAACTATGTTTAATATAATATTCATATTTGGTTCTAACTCAACGGCTACAGTGTCTATTCCAACTCAGTGTTTATCAACAAATGATATAGAAAATATCCACTCAATAAGAGCAGTGCTGCACAGTCAAACTCTCATTATTTCCTCGTAAATAACTTAATTACTTTTCGAGAATAAATTGGTTTTTATTTTCGTAGAGCGAAAAAATATCATTATTCTTTGCATGCGATAAGTTCCCAAAATATCAGAAAAGGAAGAGAATTAAAAGAAGAAAAAATAAAGACCTGAAAATTATAAAAAAAGAGGAAAGAAATTTATTGATTTGTATGATGTAGAATTAGAGATATTGAAGCAGTGTCCAATTTCTCTTCTGGCAACCAATGGCTATGCAGCTGATATCAACGGTCTGCAAGAGGAATGATTTTGAAACGAGACTAATCAATCTTGGCTTGCTTTGTGGAGAGCATAAAATAAAATAAAATAAAATAAAGATAACGACACATTGATTCAGTTGGTTCTCCAAGAAAACAAAGTTCGTTCCTGAAATTCGGATTCTTAAGAAACAAGTTTGATATTTTTTTTATAACTTTAAAAACGCACAGAAATAATTTAATAGAGAAATAACTATTTCCACTACGGGTCAATACAAATATATAACAAAGTTAGCTAATGTAAGAATACAATGTGTTAATATAATGTAATATCAAGACTGTACTTTTTTTCATCATTTTACTGTTGATCGATAAATTGATTCATTTTCTACTGCTTATCATCCCTTTGCAGGTTAATTAAAGCCAGAAAATATTTTTAGATTGTAAGAAGATTTTTTTGGACATAGTAATGATTTAGAGATACAAGATTTACTACTTAACTCATAGACTGACGAAGATAGGTGGATTCATACCAAAGTTTATTTACGCGTAAGTGTATATAACGAACGCAAATGGAATTGGAACTCAGCTCTTCGAGTTATAATTCCAAACCATTATCCATTACACCACCCACACATTCGAGCTTACAGGACCTGATATTCCCTGCTCTGTGGGCTGAAACTTCAAAATACGCCGACTGCACCTCTTCAGAGCCGTATCTTCCTCCCATAATGCCACCTGTTTGCCGTGGGTGGCTATCCGCAGTGTCTGTTGACTGGACCCTGGTGGTTGACGTCTTCAAGAGTCAGGCTTAGATACTTCTGATTCCCAATACTCCACTTTGGTCCTTAATTGAACAAAACGGGCAGTCGGTGAGGCACGATCCGATCAATCGTTTCGTTATGCTATGACCTACAGCCTATAACTCTATTAATGTATGGAGTAATTTATAACAAAAAACAATACACCAAATATACACCGGCATAAAATATCATCTCTATGCAATTTATAGGCGTTAGAAGGAGATGGCTGTGGGTTAATCGGTTCGAAGAGACCTAAACTTAGACATGGCTGTAAGATTTGGGAAGTGCAACAAATGGTTTAACGGTGGCCGAAAATCTCTCTCGAATACGAGTATACTGGTTTGTGCAACCCTGACCTGCCAAGGCGATTGGTCCCAATGTCGGGCTACGAGGTGGGTGCGGAGCGCAGACAGTGATGTTTTACTACATCAACATTATGAATAACCAAAAAACAAAACACTCAAACGATATCTTTCATATTCTGAAAAAGAAATAAGTATTGACTTTCCGAGGCTTCTCATGCACACGTCCCTAAATGAAACTCCTCGAGCAAAACGTTCCCCTTTCGTAATTTAAAATGTTCTATCCATTAGGATTAACCCAAATGGAGTTAAGAAATTGAAAATTTCCTGCTAGAAGTAAAAAAATAGGAAACACGCCGAAAGTTTAATCAAGATGAAGACTTTTCATAACCTCAATATATAAAAAAGAACTTCCTTCATGAAAGACTTATCTCTTTTACGGGAGTCATTAGAAACAGAGAGTTGTCTCTGGCCACACCTGGGGAAACCATATTAGCCGTAAGAAATCGGGGGGGGGCAGTAATTATCGTAGACGCACACTAAATAAGAAAGAAGAAACCATAACAATATACACGTATATATTTACTTTTGTCACAACTCAAAACCATAGAAAAATGAAAGTCGGGTATAATATTGGGCCTGTGGAACAATATATTCCTGTTCCGCTAAGTGCTTCAAAAATGGGGACATCATAAGGATAGCTTCAGGAGCTGCACAGCATGTGGACAATGTGGTCAAATGGATTCTGACCACACGGAAGATGGATGTCATTACGAATTAAGGTATAGTAACTGTCAGGAAAACCATCCAGCATACTTACAATAAACAAACCAAATAGTAGAAAGCTACACAAAAGGCCCTTCCTATGCAAAAAAAGTAACGCAAAAATGACTTCAACGAATACCAGTCAACCTGACAAATACAGAATCTTGATTGAGACAAAGTGACTGGACCAAATTTCAAAACTACTTAAAAGATATACACCAAGGAAATAGTACAAACTGGACCTCAACATGGCCAATGAAAGAATTGAAATAATATATAAAGAAAAAACAAATACAGTTTAACCCGGATATAAAAGAAACCCGGATATAAAAGAAACCCGGATATAAGAAAGATTTTATCTGGTCCCAAATTAGAGCCTGTGTTAATGTATATAAAATAGACCAAACCCGGATATAAGAGAAACCCTGATATAAGAGACTTCTTCTCCGGTCCCGACAACTCTTATATCCGGGTTACAAAATCTACCGCTCAAATACTCTTAAAAACCACTCGCCCAAAAAATACAAAATCTCCCATAAAGCAAATGTCACAGCGATCTCTTATCCGTCCACCGAAGAAAAAAATTAAAGATAGACTTAAGAAATTATCTGCTCCAAAAACAGAACCAACCAAATAAAAACCAGAAATTCACAGTGACCATATTCCTACTCAAAATCGTTTTCATAAACTGGAAAGAAATGGAGGTGGAAAGCCATAATCCGTAAACCGCCAAAACCTTCAATCTAAAAACCAACAAAATGGATATCGCTGACCAAC